TAGTAGCCCACGATCCATCGGTGCGATCGCTTCCTAAACGTACAGGCCATAGTAGCCCACGATCCATCGGTGCGATCGCTTCCTAAACGTACAGGCCATAGTAGCCCACGATCCATCGGTGCGATCGCTTCCTAAACGTACAGGCCATAGTAGCCCACGATCCATCGGTGCTATCACTTCCTAGACGTACAGGCCATAGTAGCCTACGATCAATCGGTGCGTTCGCTTCCAAGACGTACGGGCCATAGTAGCCCACGATAAATCGGTGCGATCGCTTCCTAGACGTACGGGCCATAGTAGCCCACGATCCATGGGTGCGATCGCTTCCTAGTCGTAAGGGCTATAGTAGCCCACGATCCATCGGTGCGATCGCTTTCTAGACGTACAGGCCATAGTAGCCCACGATCCATCGGTGTTATTGCCTCCGATTCGTACAGGCCATAATAGCTTACGATCCATAGATGCGATCACTTTCTAGATATACGGACCATAGTAGCCTACGATCCATCGGTGTCATCGCCTCCGATTCGTACAGGCCATAGTAGATTACGATCCATAGATGCGATCGCTTTCTAGATATACGGACCATAGTAGCCTACGATCCATCGGTGTCATCGCCTCCGATTCGTACAGGCCATAATAGCTTACGATCCATAGATGCGATCGCTTTCTAGATATACGGACCATAGTAGCCTACGATCCATCGGTGTCATCGCCTCCGATTCGTACAGGCCATAGTAGATTACGATCCATAGATGCGATCGCTTTCTAGATATACGGACCATAGTAGCCTACGATCCATCGGTGTCATCGCCTCCGATTCGTACAGGCCATAGTAGCTTACGATCAATAGATGCGATCGCTTCCTAGACGTACGGGCCATAGTAGCCCACGATCCATCGATGCGATCGCTTCCTAGACGTACGGGCCATAGTAGCCCACGATTCATTGATGCCATCACCTCCAAGCCGTGTACAGGCCATCCACAATGAACTCTATTATACCTGGCAAAATATGATACGGTGTTCATTAACTGTGTCGTATACCAGATCTAATGGCAATCAGCAGTTTGTTAGCATAGCAAGTTTGTTTGACATAATGTGTGGGTTTAATAAATATTCAAACCTAATCAAACCAAGCTTCTTTAATGCTATACCTGAGTTAGACAACAGGATTTTTGTAATAATCGGAACCAACTCTATTAATATCAATGTCATCCACCCAGGTTAGAATACTGACTGGATTGCCTCAATGGACCCCGATTTTTACGCACGTTCTAACCTACTTAGAGATTTAAAATAACCAAACAGGGCTACCTCATGCGTGCAATGTCTAGCTTAATCTAAAGACACATGCAAAATACGTAATAAAAATAAAAGGACAAAAAAATTTCGAGGTGCTTATTATCATAATAAAATCGGCTAGCATTCGAGCATTATCTCTGCTTCATGCCCACATAATCGGTAAAAGAAAATACTTACATATGTCAATTAATATTGCTAGAGGGTCGGTGAAAGGATGGTCTAAACCGTTGGTTTTCGACCGCTACGATCCGGGTTCGATTCCCGCATTGGGCTCTTTTTTTTTTTTTCTGATAAAAAAAAAAAAAAAGAAATGCTCCAATGGCCCTCGATTCTTGCAAAAGTCCAACCCTACCAGTGAGTGCAAGTAACCAAACGGGGCTCTGGCAGATTTTCAAGTGCAAAGTTTAACTGCTTTTCATATTAATAGACATGTGGTGCACGTACAATAAAAGCAGTCGCCTACTTCTACCCACCATGATTATCATGGCCTGTACAACGTGTTCTAGGGATAATAAAAAAAAAATCGACTAACGTTCGATCATTAGCTCTGCTTCATGCCTACATAATACGCAAAAGAACATACTTCCATATTAAGAAAAGAAAAAAAGTCATCTTCTTATAGGATAACTGGAAGTTGCTGATGACTTGCGCCATCTATCGGAATAAATATAAACTATTCGTTGATTTTTAATTATTTCAAAATTGGCCAAATACCCATTCTTGATTAATCAAGAAAAGCTAACCACGTACGCGTTTCGGGCTGTTGGCCCTCGTCAGCGTGGTGCAAGCTGTACCTCAATAACCAAAAATTTACATATGTCAATTAATATTGATATCTTCAGAATCATCGAGATTTATCGATTCAGTAGGCCCGAGGAAGACTTGAAGCTCGAACGCTAGACGATTTTTGATAATAAAATAACATCTGGAAATTTATTCATTTTACTTTCAATGGTCGAACCAATTTCAAGAGTTGAATTTCTTCTGGGCTATTTGGCCATTTCAGGCATGGTCTTCTAGCCCCCGTCATGGCAGAACACGACTTCCAGTGGCAAGGGATTCTAATATCTGGCAGCAAAGATGTCTCGCAGGGGTGGAGATGGCAGGGAACAGCACCTGGGAGCAGTGAGAGGCAGGAAAATTTCTAGAGTTAGACCTATATTGTAATTACAACAGAAAATTCTCATAGCTCATGATTGCCACGATATATACACGTATATAGTTGGGGGATAAGTAACACAAGTAAACATGAATATATATAGTTACATTATTTAAATATATTATTGTAATAAAGTTTATCCTATATAAACATTTCAAAACTGAAATGGTTAGAACTAAGATAATATACGTGAGTAGGAAACCTCAGCGATAAAACAAGGTTTAAGACCCCATAATAAAGTTTAAAAAAAAAAAAAGATAGGAAGAATGTCAAAAGAGGGTCAAGGTCAAAAAGGAAGTAAAAAGCCCATTGTTTCCTTGATGCCAAGGACCTGGACAGCTTCTTATTGTTATCTTATGGTGGAATTTGAGGCCATAGGAAAAAACATGGAGGAGCTTTTGTTCCATTTTTTATAGTTGTAGACTCTCCGTTGTTACCGTTTTGTCTCCATTTGGTCGATCGTTGATAATGAGAGTGATTTGTTTGTTGAATGGTGTCGTTTTAGAGAACTCCATAAAATTCCTGTTGCGCTCAAACAGGATTTGGCATTCTAAATACCGCCATCTTAGATCCATCTCTCGTTGAAATTTCTTTATATTCATGAGAGAGCTATTTTTGACGATTTTGACGAATTTTTTTGACATTATGACGAATAACGAGGCGTATTTTGGATTTGAGAACATTTTATTTAAAGGAAAATAAACGTAACATTTCGAAATGCTGAAAGTCTTTTTTTTTTTTTCAGGTTCACGACCCACAACGCAGTTTGGCCTTAAGTTCTGTAGGTTTTAAATTTAGAATTGACTATATTACTGTAAGCTCTAAAAATCTTCGAAAATCTTAGAAGGTAGGTCATATGTGTCCTTAAACGAGTTATAAACTGACCCATAGTTATGGTGGGACATCTGGAAATGCCAGCTGCTACTTCAGCCTAATTTATTCCCCCATGGGGGAATTCCTTTCTGGGTCTTCACACTGGTCGAAAAAAAGAGACATTTGGCATTTCCTTGCAAAACGGATGAAATGGTCTTCGTTCCAATACAAAAAGGTTGTTAGCATTCTTTTTGACAAAATTTTCTTTGGACCAAAACGTAAATGATTAGTACTCCTGGCAAGGATGGGTTGGTCTTCTTTACAATTCCAAAATAACACAAGACTTGGAAAGAAATACAGAAATTTGTTCATTTCTGGCAACTCCGACCACCCAGAAGTCTTAAAATTTGTACACTTACATTGTTCATTGGACTGAGTGAGTCTTAAAAGTTTCATATTTCTATGTGTTCTGGAAGTTTAATAAAATCAATTCACAAAATTTGAATGTCAATTTGGAAATTTATCAATTTCCGGCCACCCTGAAAACCCAGAAGTCTGTAAATTTGTCAACTTGTATTTTCATCGGGTTCTAAAAGGTGTACCAAATTTCAGATTCCTACGTGCTCTAGAAGTATATTAAAAACCTATTACAAGATTTGTGGACAGACAGGGAAGCAAGTTAAATAAAAGCTTTTAAAAAATGTTATTAGCATTCTCTTTGACAAAATCTTCTTTGGACAAAACGTAAATGGTTTTCACTCTCTGGAAAGGATGTTCTTCGACCATAAAATAAACGATTAGCACTCCCCTCTACAATGACGGAATGGCTTCCATACCAAACACATTTACGGTTGAACAAAAGGAAGGCATCAGCACGCGCCATTTATGTGTAAAAAAATGAAACTATTTGGCGCAATTTTTCTTTTTCAAATGAAATCCATAAGGACAATAGAATATAAGTTTATTTGAAAAAAAAAAAGTAATAAACGCGCTAACTTGTTTCATTTCTTTATATATACGGTTATAAGTCCCTTCAGCAAGATCGGGCTTTTACACCTATAGGTTAAACACAAGGAAATAACATGGTGTCTATATAAAAGAAATCGGTTTTGTTCTTCATTGGAAAATGGGTGCCGTTGCCACGTTAGTCACCTTGGAAACGAACCAGAATTTGGTAAAATATTCCAAGGGTCCAGGGGGGACCGCAGGGAGGTGTGGCATATAAAAGAAATGAAACTATTAAATAATCAGATTTTTCAAATGAATCATATCTCTTCTAATCGCCTTTACTGCAATTCAAATTTAGTGGAAGGACCTAGCTCATCAATGGTGAACCCACTCGGCGGTTTCGTCAGTTTAAACAACCCCCCATACTCTTCTTTTTAAAGCTCTACTATTATATCGGAAGATTCTGCTTATATATCTGACGCTGACGGGTTGAATCTTGATTTTGGTATTTAATAAACTCTAAGCTTTGATAACAGTGTAAAATTACTCTACATTTTTTTAATCGAGCAGTGCTCTTCAACAAACAATTCGAGCAAGACCAGTTGGGCATAAATTAAACACAAGGCAATAACACGCTACCTAAATAAAACTAAATGGAACTATTATTCACGAATTTTCCTTTTCAGTGAAAATGTTGTTTTACGTGCTATAAACCAAAGTGTATGGTTTTCGAGCCCAAAAATGGATGTAGCAAGCAGACAAAAAAAAAAAAAAAAATCGCACTACGGGAATCGAACCCGGGCCTTCTGGGTGAAAGCCAGATATTCAAGTTACTAGACCACGTGGGATAATAGGTTTAGTGGGTAGGATATCTATTTTCCTTTTCAAATAGTCCTGGAGTTTTCCCAGAGGTCTTTTTGGAGGATTTGATACAATTCAATAGATGTTCAGGACTGGCTGGTTGGGAATCGCATTTGAGGCATTTCGGGAATGTTTTGATTTTTCATTAAATTTGAGAATTCTAAGATGTCCTGTTCGTAATCTTGAAATCGCCGTTTGTTCTTCCCTAGTAAGGGTGTGGAAAGAAGATTCGTTAGGAATGGGGATGTACCAGGGGTGGTTTAGGGTGGATTTCAAGAGAGAGGTTATTTTTGTTTGTGGATGAAAGAAATTTCAGAATAGGTGAGTTGGGAGTTTTCAGGCTTTTACTCTCCTTAACCGCAATGACATGTTTTAAGTCCATTTAGTTAATATATATTTCAATAGATGGCGGTTTGTTTCAGTACTTTGTTAGACATTTTAGAACTTTTTTTTGCGCGATCACAATTAAAGATGAAATTAATAAGGAATCTAGGGCTAGGTTTCTTTTCACATTTTTTTATTTCTCGAGCTTTCGGCCTAAGTAATACTTCTAGACCTCCGTGTTGAAGGGCATGTTAGACCGAAATATCGAGAAATAAAAAAATGTAAAAAGAAACCTAGCCCTAGATTCCTCATTGATTTTGTCATAGTGTAAAAGCAGGGAAGAATATTTATTATAAAAAAATGTAAAAAGAAACCTAGCCCTAGATTCCTCATTGATTTTGTCATAGTGTAAAAGCAGGGAAGAATATTTATTATAAAAAAATGTAAAAAGAAACCTAGCCCTAGATTCCTTATTGATTTTGTCAAAGTGTAAAAGCAGGCAAGAATCTTTATTATAAAAAAAATGTAAAAAGAAACCTAGCCATAGATTCCTCATTGATTTTGTCAAAGTGTAAAAGCAGGGAAGAATCTTTATTATAAAAAAAATTGTAAAAAGAAACCTAGCCCTAGATTCCTCATTGATGTTGTCATAGTGTAAAAGCAGAGAAGAATCTTTATCACAATCAAAGATGAATAAAAAACAGGTGATGAACCAAATAGGATGTTTTCTTTGAATAAGCACAGATGTCACGCGCACGTGGCAGATCTAGAATAGACAAAACAATACCTTGACAGCTGAACATCAAACTTTATCAAATACAAGATAAACATGGACAACTACTAGCTAACAAGATTTGTTTAAACATGTTGGTATTTGTTAATGATTCTTGATAGCTTAGCCATTCTGCGATGTCTATCTTTTTGCAGCTGGGGGATGATCTTCACGTGTCGTCTGTTTTTTTAGAATTATGCTTATCTCATCATGTCTTTATCTCGGCGAACTATCTTCCCCTCTGCTGAGTCATCAAAGGTCAGCGCTTATCTGATTGACGGGCTTAATTATCATCTTCTGGAATTCTTCCTTCTAATGAACATTCTAGAAATGATTGAAATCTGAGATCTTTTGTTTGCTTTTCTTCGAATGCTTTGAAGTATTTAGAATATTTTAAATGTTTATATCTTTTTAATATTTGACACTTATACCCATGGTAAAGTTTTCATTAACATTTAAAATCGCTTCTATAGACAATGACAATCTTGTCAATACATGCAAAAGTGCACAATCTGCACTATTTAAAAAATATAATTATATATATGCATGATACTTTGTACAATGAATATGGCGCCTCTGCCAACGCTGCATAGTTTGGTGGAGAATCGCTTCTACAGATATTTCGTCTATGAAAGAAATAATGCTGTTGAAAAAGCTTGTCTCATCATTGTGATGAATTCTCTTAGCGAATTCGACAATTTGGCAAATTTCAGTAATTTCTTTGTTAGCTTTAAGGAATTCTTAACATTTTAAAATCCATCCTCACACACAAAAGCCTTTATTAAGACCTAATCTTATACGTATCGATTCATTCACCACGGATTCTGCTAAGGAAAAAATAGTATAAAATAATAAAATTGAATAATAATATATAATATATATGCATATATTATAGTACACAAAACCTAATTAAGGCAATCAGTCATGATTAGATCCATGAATGGATTTGTATGAAAAATCAATGGAAAGAAAAAAAGATAAAAATGAAGTAAAAGAAATAAAAATGTACACTGGTGTGTTCACATATGATAATCAATGAATATGAAAAATCTTTCGTGAAATGAAAAAAATGATTCAACCAAAGAACAGGATAGCAAGAAGTTGAAATTAACAAGAGAATATATCTACATATGAAAAAAGAAAAAGGCATCTCCTTATCGTGCAACTGAAAGTTGCTGATGGCTGAGCGCCATCTATCGGAATAAATATCAACTATTCTCGTTGATTTTTTTATTCCATAATTGGCCAAATACCCATTCTTGATTAATCAAGAAAAGCTAACCACGGACGCGTTTCGGGCTGTTGGCCCTCATCAGCGTGGTGCAAGCTGTACCTCAAAGACCAAAAAAATTGGTCATTAAGGCATCCTGAAAAATCATGAAACGGGTAGTTAAGGCCAGAATTGCGTGAGGACTCTACACAATGTGAAAAAATAGTACAAATGTAACATTGTACTGGGATAAGGTGCATAAATCATGAAAAAAGAAAAAGGCATCTCCTTATCGTGCAACTGAAAGTTGCTGATGGCTGAGCGCCATCTATCGGAATAAATATCAACTATTCTCGTTGATTTTTTTATTCCATTTTTCATGATTTATGCACCTTATCCCAGTACAATGTTACATTTGTACTATTTTTTCACATTGTGTAGAGTCCTCACGCAATTCTGGCCTTAACTACCCGTTTCATGATTTTTCAGGATGCCTTAATGACCAATTTTTTTGGTCTTTGAGGTACAGCTTGCACCACGCTGATGAGGGCCAACAGCCCGAAACGCGTCCGTGGTTAGCTTTTCTTGATTAATCAAGAATGGGTATTTGGCCAATTATGGAATAAAAAAATCAACCAGAATAGTTGATATTTATTCCGATAGATGGCGCTCAGCCATCAGCAACTTTCAGTTGCACGATAAGGAGATGCCTTTTTCTTTTTTCATGATTTATGCACCTTATCCCAGTACAATGTTACATTTGTACTATTTTTTCACATATCTACATATGTGATATATGTGAATATATCTACATTAACTATATTATAACAAAGCAATAACGCGCCATCTATATATAACGAAATTAAGCTTATGTCCAAAGTTTTCCTAAATACCATTTCTAAGATTCCACCCTTCAGTTTAGCGTATAAAAGCATAATGATCCAATACTATATTAGAGCTCTAGAAGCGGTCTGGTAGATTAAATTGGCGAAACCGCTGGGAGGGTTCACCACTGATGAGCCAAGCCCACCCAATATTATTTTTTCATCGCAAGAAAGACAGTATAAGTTTGATTTATTTGTTAAAAAAATAAACAGTAAATAGATCCCTTATATGAATATGTAAATTACCTTTGTTAATTCTATATAGTGTATGAGTGTATGTTTTTGGGGAAACCTTTGGCGTGAGTTAACGCACGAAAATTTACCATGTTATATTTTAATAAAGAAACTTATTGCAAATCCGTTAATTGAAATATAGCGCGTAAACTTTTGTAATTATCTTCAGAATCTTGAAATCTTACACAGCTTGAACCACGATGATGAGGGTCAACAGCCCGAAACGCTCTTAGGTTGTTAGTTTTTTTTTTTATTTTACTAATCATCATGGGCTAGAAAATCAACAACAACAACAAAAAGCCTTTATTTAGGGTCACTGACCCTATACAGGATTCACCAGAGGTATGCATAAGAACAAAGCAGTAAGACAAAGGAAATAACGATATATACAGAAGAAAAAGAAAAAAAAGAAATAGAAAAAGGGAAGCAAGAAAAACAACACAAAAAGAGTAGCAGTAAGAAAGTGAGGAGTAAGTGTCACTTGGCCTTCTTCTCAGATATGGACTTGTGGAAACCATAAAACGCCGTAGCAATATACTTATTATGGGTCATATTGTCAATTATTGATGGAAGTGAAGCACAGAGTTGCCCAGTTTTGAGCATAAGGGTTCTTCTTTCTTATTTCAGAGCAGAGCAATCAAAAATATAGTGAGTGATTTCATTTTTTAGTTTTGAATTACAGAAGGGGCTAGAAATTCATACATTTTGGTTAGTATCCGTAAAACTATATTTTCTCTAATCAAAAGAATGGGTATTCGGCGAATTCTGGAATGATTAAAATCAACGATTAGTTTATATTTATTCCGAAAGATGGCACAAACCATCAGCAACTTTTAGTTACACGATCAGGAGATGCATTTTCTTAATTAAAATCTTAAGTTACTTTAATGTCTCAAAACTATACAAAAGTCATACCTACCAGTTTAGGAAGATAACTAAACTGGGCTCTAGCATTTTCTAAGTGGACCAATCGTCTATATGTGAAGACCTATGGGGCACTAATAGCAAAATCAGTCGCTATCCTAACTTACCAAGATATCATGAACTGTACTAAGCGTACTTGATAATAACCAAAGGAACTAGTCCCTACCCTAACTCACCATGATTATCATGAACTGTACTAAGCGTACTTGATAATAACCAAAAGAACTAGTCCCTACCCTAACTCACCATGATTATCATGAACTGTACTAAGCGTACTTGATAATAACCAAAAGAACTAGTCGCTACCCTAACCCACCATGATTATCATGAACTGTACTAAGCGTACTTGATAATAACCAAAAGAACGAGTCCCTACCCTAACTTACCATGAACTGTACTAAGCGTACTTGATAATAACCAAAAGAACTAGTCCCTACCCTAACTTACCATGATTATCATGAACTGTACTAAGCGTACTTGATAATAACCAAAAGAACTAGTCGCTACCCTAACTCACCATGATTATCATGAACTGTACTAAGCGTACTTGATAATAACCAAAAGAACTAGTCGCTACCCTAACTCACCATGATATCATGAACTGTACTAAGCGTACTTGATAATAACCAAAAGAACTAG